CCTCTTTCGTCCCTCTTTCGTCCCTCTTTCGTCCCTCTTTCGTCCCTTTCTTCCTTTCGCTCCCAGTAGTTTTAATTTTATGCCAGTTTGAGTTTGGAATTCCCTACATGGCTGAATCAGATGAATAGTAGTGCTGATAAAAGAAGATGGTGGGAATGAATAGTTAAGGACTGGGAGAAATGAGGAACTGCAGTTTATGCAGAAGCGTTGATCTGTACCTTGATAGCCATATCAGCCATACCTTTCAGCGACCCCCCCGCCCACAAAACTCTTTTTTTTTTTTTTTTTTTTTTTTTTTTTTTTTTTGAGTTGTGCAAGGGAGAAAAAGTTTTTACACTAACGTACTTTTGTATAATGTATTCAGCAGGTAGATGATACAGCATGAACACCGAAAAGAATAAACCATGGCATTAATGTCTCATGTCATGCAGCGCATTGCAGTTTTGATCTAGCCTCCATGACAGACATGTGTAGTGATAGAAAATAGTATGGTGCTATTGTAGTACAGATTTCTGTAGTTCTTTGGCATGCCTTTGACTTCCCTTGCATTAGAGGATGAGCTTCAGCATGTAAGATCTAGATTTCCTTAAGGAAAAAAAAGGGTTGAATTACTGGTTTTCTGTACAGCTGTAAACTTTACCCTTTTGCCTTGTAAAAGAAAAAGGGTATGAGATTATCACAGTTCAGTGACCCAAAGTTACTAACAGCAGCAAAGGTTAGTGGCTATGTGTAATAAACAGAATATTCTCATGGCTGTCTGGCTGAACTAAACGGATGAAAAGTTCATCTTCCCACATAATTGGCTCTGGTGGTGAGCTGTAGGGGATTCCTAGGGTAAGAGGATAAGAGTAGAGAATGGAAACAGAGAAACTTCTGCAATGAAAACTCCCAGCTTTGAGCAAACAGCAGCTTAGGGACTTTCTAAATCGGCACTTTGTTTTATTTTTCTACCAGTAGTTCCAGAAGGAACTCTTTTCTATGAATCTAAATGCTTGAATCTACATATATCTTTGTGATAAAAAGTTGCAGAGCTCTCCACATAATCGTATGCTACATTAACTGTTACTGTGGTTATGTTTTTCCTCTAAACTGGATCTTTTTTTCTTTATCTCATCTATTTCATTATAGCTTTTATTTTTTTCTTCATTTTTTTTAACAACTTAGTGAGAGACTTTGCAAAAAAGACTTAACTACTTTTTTTTTATTTTTATTTTTATTTTTTATTTTTTAATCTTTATGATGCTTTCAAAGAAGTCTGATAGATTGATAGATTTGGGAGCAGCTTGTATTATCCAGGTATTTATTTTACGACTTAGCCTATCAAATCATCCAAGTAGAAGTCAGTTTCTGGTCTGCAGTTTCTCAGAATCCATTGGAAGCATTTTAAAATATTAGCACCCACATACTGTATTTTGTTAATGAGGCCATTTTGGAAGAGAATTTGTTGCACTACACAGTAATTCATCAATTCATCAATTTCATAATTAAGTTCCTCCAAATTCATGAATGATACTATCTAGACCTTGCAACTTGATAGCGTTAAAGTAGCAATTTTTTTTTTTTTTTTTTTTTTTTTTTCCCTCGTTTCTTTTCATTGCTTAATTCGGGTGTAGGTGCACCTTCTGTTTCTTTCTCTGTATAGAAAGCTTCTGGTGTGGGGACCTGCCTAAGCTCCCGTGTAGGGAACAGCAACCCGACATATTCAGTTGCCTCCTCTGCAGTGGCTGCAGATGATCTTATGATTGCACATTAGATCATTCTTTCCTAGAGCTCTTCCTTCAGCACTGAGACCTTTTGAATTGTCAGTATTGCAGCTTGATAGTAGGAAAAAAAGTCTTGAGGTAATGGTGAACAGCTTGCTATGAAAACATACAGCAACTCCATACTCTATGGATGTTTATCCTTTTGTATACAGTAAACAAGTGCTTCCTAATACAGAAAGGAGTGAAGACCTTTTTTCTTTATGATGTGTGCAAGGATTAACAGCACTGCTAAGAGAGCTGTGAGAGATGACGTTTCTGTGCTAATATTCCA